TTTACCTTTGAACCTTCATTTAATAGAAAGATTTTTAAAACTAAATCACAAGTTCTTGAGTTTTATACTTTTTAGGATATCATTCAAATATTTGAAAAATCTTATCCATGTGAATTATCATCATTCTATTGGGGGAACAAATAATTTCTTCTTTCATTATAATTAATCAACAAACTTAACTCCGCTTTAAAACTAATAATTTAGAAAATAAATGTTTTGATTTTTCCTTATTATCACCATTTATTGAGTATGCGCTAGTTGCTTCCTCAAGAAAATATTTAGTGTATTAAATTAACCATTTAGGTCTCTTGTCTTGAAGAAATATTATTTCTTAGAACATCATTTGGCATTGACAGTGTATGTGCCTGTTTTTATGGAACAACGAATATACAATAGTTCGATGTCAACCAGATATTAAGTAAAGAGAAGAAGCATGGCAGAAGAAGACATCTCTGGTAAAGGTAGTAGTATATAGTACCTATCTTTACGGAACATTCAACCTAATAACTAAAATAAATGAACCCAACCAATTTATTTGAAAAATTCGGATCTCAAAGCGGACATTTATTAATATGACGAAAATTGACGGGTTTTAAAAAATGAAGAATCGATAATAGCCAAATTAAAGGTCGCTAATATTCGCAGAAATCAATTGCAATAAATAATGATGGGGTTTTGTAAACGGTATTGCTACTATACAAAAATGAAAGAATAACTATTTGTTTTTAACCAATAATCAACCCATTCATTACTATTACTAATTAATTGGTCAGAAAATATTCCCATGTCAAGTTTCTCAAAAAACAATTCATCTTAATTCTTCAAAAGTTTTTCAATTTATTTTGAGTGAATGAGCGAGGAACAAGTGTATTTTATCGTTTCATCAAATATCATTTACAACTCATTCTATTTGCAATGGAATAAATGAATTATTGTTAATTAGAATATTGTATATATGAATAAAAAAATGCCTTTTTTGATTGGTTTCCATCACAAATATCAGTAATGTCTTATCTGATAACTTAACATATGAAGAGTATTAAACTAATACTCCAATATTAATCAATCAGCATATTATGTATACTGTATATTATAAATTATTACTTTGAAATATGTTTCCCGTGATCATTCTTTCCAACATTAAATAATTAAAAATATCACAAGAAACATTGCATGC